TAGAAAATCCTTGGATAGCTTCTTCAATTTCGCGATAAAGAGAAATATGTCCAACAGTAGTTCGAATATATAAAAAATGAGTTTCTTTTCTTATACTTCGGACTATTAGATAGTGTCCATAAATCTCATAATAAGTCCCTTGAGATTCGTAATGAATTTCTATTAGAGTTTCTCTTGAAGTAATGGCGCGTTGATCGAGTCTCCATCGGAGCCACAAAGGACTATCTAAATTTATTTGTTTTTTCCGATAAGCTCCAATTGCATCATAGGAATTACAAAAAAAGGGTTCATTTTTATACTTATAATAATAATTATGATTGTCACTGCTTCTACTTGGAAAGTTTCGTGTATTACATTCAGTTGCCCTATTAAGACAAATACCTCGACGATTCTCATTCGTTAATACATAAAGTCCAATAACCATATCTTGGGTTGGTACGGAAATGGGATCCCCAATAGCCGGAGATAAAAGATTCATATGAGAAAACATAAGTAAACGGGCTTCGGCTTGAGCCTCCAACGATAAAGGTACATGAACAGCCATTTGATCTCCATCAAAATCTGCATTGAACCCCTTACAAACTAAGGGGTGTAAAAAAATAGCACGCCCCTCCACTAAAATGGGTTGAAATGCCTGTATGCCTAATCTATGGAGAGTGGGCGCTCTATTCAGCAATACAGGATGCCCCTGCACAACTTCTTGAAGTATTTCCCATACAAGTGATTCTTTTTGTCGAATTTGCCTTTTTGCAACCCCTATATTCGAGGCAAGATGTTTTCTTATTAGATCCCGAATGACAAAAGGCTGGAAAAGTTCGATTGCTATTTCACGCGGCAAGCCACATTGATGTAATGAAAGCGAGGGGCCAACGACAATCACAGAACGTCCTGAATAATCAACTCGTTTACCAAGCAGAGTTTCACGGAATCTTCCCTCTTTGCCTTCAATTATATCTGAAAATGACTTGTAAACTTTATTATGCCCATCCCTCATTGGTTGCCCGCGGATTCCATTATCAAGAAGTGTATCCACAGCCTCTTGTACTAAATTCTCCTGGCATATTATTAATTCGCCTGGCGTAGATTTACTTGTTTTTAATAGATTGGTAAGCGTATTATTCCTATAGATAACTCTTCGATAGAGTTCATTAATGTCTGAACTCATAAGTTTTCCCCCATCTATCTGAATAATAGGTCTCAACTCAGGAGGAATTACTGGTAATAGACATAAAACCATCCATTCTGGTTCTATATTTGTTCGAATAAAATGTTTAGCTAAGTCCATCCGTCTAACCAAAAAAGCCTTTCGTCTTGTAGCTTTTTGATCTTCCCATTCATTCCCTGTGCGCTTTTTTTCCCCCAAATCTTTCCATTCTAGTAATGAATTTTCGGCAATCATTCGTAAATCTAGATCGGCTAATTGTTCTCGGACAGCACAGGCCCCCATAGAAATTTCTCGATTTCGAAATGTATTGAAACCTTTAGTAGTGAAGAAAAGTGGAATGCTATATTTCCACGATTGGATTTCATATTTGAATAAACCCCGTAATCGTAAGAAAGTGGGTTTTTTAGTTATGGGCCTAGCAAAAGAAAAATTGGGATAGGATTCAATAGGAGTTCCCCCCTTCAAAATCGGACGTGAATGTTTCCTTTCATCCGGCTCAAGTAGGTACATGAAGTAGACAATAAAGAAGAAAAGAAACACAAGTATCTCTTCGTTTCAAATTATTGACAACCCCAAATGAAAAAGATAAAAAGTTCTACTCCTTACTCAAGTTTCCATTGATGGTAAAGCAATATAGAACCCGTACTATTTCATTTCTGATTTAGATTTCATTGAGTCTTATTCTAATTCGGGAATTATTTAAGTTCAATTATAACATAAATATAAATGAAATGCAAAATTTTTGAGTAGTCTCCTTCCCCTCAAAGAATGAATCCACTACGTCTTAATAAGGAACCGCCATATTAGTAAAGTAGTAACTTGTAATTTAGAAGGGATTTACTTGTCTCTAGATTGTTCCATTTGATCTTTTAGGCCCCACTATATATACCTCGATGGTTAGGCGGACGCTAAGCTAAGCCCTTTTTACTAAAGCCTATATGCGATAAATAAACTCCTATAACCATGCCCTATTTGCTTACTTGAATTTCTAAATGAGAGGAAATAGGAAATTTTAAGGTTCATTCAACAAAACAAAAACTTTTTTTTTTACGAGGTACAAAGAAAAAACCCTATTTATTTGATTTGTAATGAAATGGACCATAGATCAACTCCCTTTTTCTTTTGTGGGAGTGTAATTACTACATCCCAATTCTGAGCTTCATGTTTTGCTTTCCAATTAACATGTCAGGTCTAGGGCATCCCAATTGGATTAACTGGGATGACAGTTTCTTGTTCTGAATCTGTAAAATCAAAATTTCGATCAAATCACACATCGCCATATACTAAGCCCTCTAACTCTTGAAGAGGTTTATCTAAAATATTCGCAATATAACTAGGAACACGTTTTAAATACCACACATGAGTTACTGGGCAAGCTAGTTTGATATAGCCCATTTGATACCTTCGGATCCGCGAATCCACAAATTCAACTCCGCATTGTTCACAAAATTTGGGTTTATCTTTTTTATCTATGATTACTTGAGAATTTCCACACGCGCAAATTCCACTTTTGATAGGCCCAAATATTCTTTCACAAAATAATCCATCTTTTTCTGGTTTATTTGTTTTATAAAGAAAAGTATAAGGTTTTGTTACCTCGCCAACTATTTCACCATTTGGCAAAAGTTTACTGGCCCAAGCACTTATTTGTTGAGGAGAAACCAATCCAATTCGTAGCTGTTGATGTTTATATCGATCAATCATAAAAGAAAAATTTTTATTTGTTCGGATTAAATTAAGCTTCCTTCCTATGAATCTGGAAGTTCTTTTCAGATACCAGGATATAATTAAGTTCCAGAGCTAAAGATCGTAGTTCTCGAACAAGCAATCTAAAAGATTCTGGAGCATTTTTTGGATGAGGTATTGTACCTCCAAGGATCGTAGTACCAAGTACTTGCTGACGAGCTCTAATATGATCCGATTTATAAGTAAGCATCTCGTGTAAAATATGAGCAACTCCAAATCCTTCGAGAGCCCAAACCTCCATTTCCCCTACCCGTTGCCCCCCCTGTTTGGCTCTTCCTCTAAGGGGTTGTTGTGTAACAAGCGCATAATGTCCACTGGAACGCCCATGCAGTTTATCATCAACTTGATGAATTAATTTCAAGATATAAGCCTTACCTATTAGGATAGGTTGTTCAAAAGGATTACCCGTTCTTCCATCAAATATTCTACTTTTTCCTGGGTACTCGGGTTCAAATGCCCATGGATGCGCTGTTTTTTTACTGGCTTCATGTAATTGAGAAAATACGATTTTTCTCGAAGCTTCTTGTTCGTATCTCTCATCAAAAGGTGCGATTCTATAATGTCTATTTAGCAAACTCCCTGCTAGCCCCAGTGAACATTCGAAAATCTGTCCTACATTCATTCTTGAAGGTACTCCTAATGGGTTAAATACCAGATCAACTGCTCTTCCATCTTGTAAATAGGGCATATCTTGTCTAGACAAAATTTTTGAAATGATACCCTTATTTCCGTGCCTTCCAGCTATTTTATCGCCCACTTTTATTTCACGTTTCTGTAAAACATATACCTGAATCTTTTCCGGATTAGAATTGTAAACCCCTTTCTTCTGTATCCACCTTACATCAATAACCCGACCCCTCCCACCTATAGGGACTTTGAGACAAGTTTCTTTTGACGTAGATACCTGAATACCAAGTATGGCTCGTAATAATCTATCTTCCGGTGCATACGACGATTCTTTCACCACGTGAGGTGTTAATTTACCTACTAAAACATCCCCCGGCTGTACCCAAGATCCCTGCATTATAATTCCATTTATATCTAAATTGCGAATTAAATGGGCTTCTAAATGAGGTATCTCTTTAGTGACTTGTTCAGGGCCTTGGCTTGTCACATGAGTTTGAATTTCAAATTTCCTTATGTGTAAAGAAGTATAAATCTCTTCATATACCAAGCGTTCGCTAATGAGCACTGCATCCTCAAAATTATAACCCTCCCACGGCATATAAGCTACCAATAAAGTTTTCCCGAGAGCAAGTTCGCCTTCAACCGTAGCGGCACCTTCCGCTAAAACTTGTCCTTTTTTAATAAATTGACCCGGTTGAACCTGAGGTTTTTGATGCATACAAGTATTTTTGTTTGAACGTTGATGCACAACTAATGGAATGCTTAGAGTCTTTCCAAGGCCAGAAACCCATACAAATATATTTTCAGTATCCGTATAAACAACCTTTCCCGTGTGGGCGGCTATAACAAGAGACCCTGAATCGAGAGCTGCGTGGTGTTCTATCCCTGTTCCAACAATGCATTTCTCGGATCGAGTAAGGGGAACTGCTTGCCGTTGCATATTAGAACTCATTAAGGCTCGATTCGCATCATTATGTTCGATAAAAGGAATGAGGGAAGCTCCAATAGAAAAATATTGGAAGGAAAAAATACTTCGAAGATGAACTTGCTCCCATGCAATAGTAAGGAATTCTTGACAGTATCTAGCTGGAACAACCTGATCTTCTTGAATATTCTGATTCAAGGCCAAAGAATTTCCTGCCGCTACCATATAGTATTCATCTCTACCCGGTGATAAGTAAAGCATCCGTACCCTTGTTGACCGCTCAGAAATTTCAAAAAGTGGACTTTCTAGAGATCCCCAACGTCCAATCCTCGCATGGATTGCTAAGGATCCAATAAGCCCAACATTGATTCCTTCTGATGTGTCAATAGGGCAAATACGCCCATAGTGGCTAGGGTGAATATCTCGGATCCGAAAACTAGCAGTGCGTCCTGTCAGCCCCCCAGGTCCTAAATAACTAAATTTTCTTGCATGAACTATTTGTGTCAATGGATTGGTTTGATCTAAAACTTGAGATAATGGGTGTAACCCGAAAAAAGATTCATACGTAGTTGTTAAGGGAGTTGAAGTTACCAAATTCTGAGGAGTGGGTATTAATTTATGACGAATTGCTCCACATATAGTGCTTTTAACGACATTTTCGAAACGAACGAGAGCCAATCCAAATTGATCTTGTAAAAGATCCGCTACAGACCTAATACGTTTATTTTGCAAATGATTCATATCATCAAGTGTACCCATTCCAAATTTGAGTGCAATCAAATGATCGGCGGCTGCTAATATATCTCGTGGTACCAAAAAAGTATTATTCTGGGGTATATCAAGATTAAGTCTTCGGTTCATATTTCGTCGACCAAGCTGTCCTAATTCACATCTTTGGTGAAAAAATTTTTTTTGTAATTCCTTACATAAGTATTCATACACTAATAGATCACCGCCTACGCAAGCGAATTTTTTATAAAACTCCAGAATCGCGTTTTCTTTTGAACCAATTTTTTTTTTATCCTTATCACTAAGAAAAGATAAAAAAAATTTCAGGATAACAGGCATTTTCTATAATTTCTCTTAGATCTAATCCCATAGCTGATGATAGCACTAAAATCGATATTTTTTTTTTCCTACTCACACGAGCCCATATTCTTGCTTTTCTATCAATTTCTAATTCTGATCTTCCTCCCCAATCTGATATTATTGTGCCGGTATAAACCGAAATCCCGTTATGGTCCAATTCTGACCGGTAATAAATGCCAGGGCTTTGTAGTATTTGATTGATCACAATTCTATAGATTCCATTTACTATAAAACTTCCCAGGAATTCATTAGAGGAATGCTGCCAAGAAAAATGATTTGTTCTTGCATACGTGTAGATTGATCCTTACTTGCTTTCCAAATTAATCCTGCCAATACATAGAATTCAGAAGAATATGTGAGTGAGTCATACACAGCATCTCTTTCCTTGATCAATGGTTCTACCAATTGAGATGTTTCCACAAATAAATGAAACTGAATTTCTTGATCGAGATCTTCAATTTTTTGAAACTTAGAAAGTTCTTCGATTAAACCTTGATCAATAAACCTACAAAATCCTTCAAATTGTATCTGATTCAATCCAGGGATTGTAGTAACTCCGTCCTTTTTTCCATCTACAAGCATTTTTTTTTGTAATTCCTTTTTATTTTCTTTATTATTGATTTTATAAAACTTTACGAATCCTTCATCTAATAGCTAAGAAAATAGATGATTTATTAATGAGTTAATTTCTATTGTTTTTACTGAATCACATTAAATTGTATCAAACTCCATATCTGAACTATAAAACAGATTTAAGAATTTCATAGATCATTAAATAAATAATTTGAAAATATTTTTTTAGTATCTTAGAAATAAAGATTTTGATTCAAATAAAAGATGCTTTCGTATACTCGTAGTTAAATTGATACGCTTAAAGGTTCCCACTTTCATCTGACTTTTCAATATAATCTTTAATGGCTCAAATAAAATAAAAAAAAAAGTGGAATAAACTCAGTCTTTTTTTAGTAGAAAAGAAAGAAACAAGTACAATCAAAAAGTCGTTCCCCAATTTTTTTGTATCCTTTTGGCGACATGGCCGAGTGGTAAGGCAAGGGACTGCAAATCCTTTTTTCCCCAGTTCAAATCCGGGTGTCGCCTGATCTATGGATCTATAAAGAATTTCAAATATCTTATTGTTCATAGGATTCCTATAAAGGAAAATAAAAATTCCGCATACTACTAATTTGAATTTATTCTATTTAAATCCTTTTTTTCGTATTTTTTTTCGTAAACAGAAGAACCTCTATCCCGTTCTTTCCTAGCTCCTATGCTCCTATATAATCATATGGAGGATGCCAGATTAGATCGCAATGAGAATTAACGATTTTTATATTTTTGTATATTGATTGCTATTTTTCTGAAATTAGGAAAATAACGCCAGATCCTTTTGTGGTTTCGCATATTTTGCATTTTCTTTTTAGGTCATCTTCCATAATCCCTTTTTTCATTTTTTATGTGTACTCTACGCGGGGGATTCCATTATTCTTATTAATTTCTTATAATTGATGAGGAACTTAGTAAAAATAAACTAGTTATAATGATAACTAGTTATAATGATAGGAGGCATAATGAATATGGATATAATAAGTCTTGCTTGGGCTGCTTTAATGGTAGTTTTTACTTTTTCTCTTTCACTAGTAGTATGGGGAAGGAGTGGACTATAGAGGTTCTACTAAATTGAGTTTTGCGTAAATAAAAATTTATTCATTTTTTTATAAAATGTTTCAGAACATGTGAATAACCCACTCTGCTCTTTCAATCTTTAAATAAAACATATTTTTCAAACAAAAAGAAGGCTAATAGTTAATAGATAGTGTGAGTTAAAAAAAGGGAATCATCTATGGATTAATTTAGGATACTTCCTTTATTTTGTACTTTCTTAACATATTATCTATTACTATTAGTCTATTCTATGAGTATTTTATGAGTCTCGTGCTTTATTGCTAATTTGAACCAGTTCTTTTTTTTTTAATTAAAACCTTCAAAAATTTGTAATAGAATTTGTTTTGATAAGATAATCTAATGATCTAACCCAGGAGATAATTTTATTTCAAAATAGATGAAATACTAATTAATTATTTTTACTGACGGTTTTTACGTAAATGATAAGTAGAAGGGCGGTAGGAACTAAAATCAATAGGGCCGTAGCAATAAATGCAAGAATATTGACTTCCATAATCTCGTTGTTTTTTTACTTCGCAATAACTTGGGATTTAATCCCATATAAAACTTCAAGATAAAAATGAGAAGCAGTAACCTTATTTCTTTCTTCTTTGGATCCATCGGGACTGACGGGGCTCGAACCCGCAGCTTCCGCCTTGACAGGGCGGTGCTCTGACCAATTGAACTACAATCCCCGTCAATCAACTAAGGAATCCAGTCAAAATTTTTCTTTTTCTATCTATCAGATATACTTCTGAGATATTTTTCAAGGTCAGGTTCTTTTTTCTTATTTGGATTTGCGAATGATTGGGCCGAGCTGGATTTGAACCAGCGTAGACATATTGTCAACGAATTTACAGTCCGTCCCCATTAACCACTCGGGCATCGACCCAGGAAAAGCCAAATTACTACTCAATTTTGTAATTAATCCATTAAAACATTATTAATTCATTATAAGCTTCCTTTCAAAGTACCCTACCCCCAGGGGAATTCGAATCCCCGCTGCCTCCTTGAAAGAGAGATGTCCCTAAACCACTAGACGATGGGGGCCCGCTTGTCCAACCAACCTCATACTATGATGTGATAGTAGGAACCTTTTTTTTAAATTGTCAATAGATGTAAAAGATTTAAATATTCTAACAGATCTTTCCCTTTCTAATCAGTTATGTTTTTCAATTTTTTGATTTCCCATTCAGCAATCTTTGATTAAAACCCGAATTTGAAATCTAGTATTTTCCTATTTTTGGATAAATTTTTAAAATATGCTCCGTCCACAATGAAATTAATATTCTTCTAATAAGAAATTTCATATAAATAGACTAGCTAAAATCCAGAGATATATAAGAGAACTGGAGTATCTTTTCTGGATTTTATCAATATATTAGGAATTCAATAGAATACGCCCCTTTAACTCAGTGGTAGAGTAACACCATGGTAAGGCGTAAGTCATCGGTTCAAATCCGCTAAGGGGCTATGTAAAAGAATTGAAGTTTTTTTTTATGTAATAAGAATAATTAAATGGATAAAATCTTATTCCGATCATGAATATTATTTTATTTTTTAGATTTAAAATAAAAGTGTAACTTTTTTTTATATTCAATTATTTGAATTATACTCTATACTCAAATACTAAAGTTATAAAATCTCAAAAAAAAAAGAACTATCAATTCTGAAATCCTAAAATACTCCTATTTTCTTTTATAAAAATAAAGTAAACTATAGTGGATCTGACTCATGTAAGAATGGCTAAAGTCGCTATTATGATATTCAAATTAGATAGAGATAAAAGTGCACTAATTCATTTTAATTTTAATTCTTATTATATAAGATTAATGAAAAAAAAAATAAAATTCAGACTTATTTAGAATAATGCTTAGTGGTAGGAATAAGAATGAAAATGAGGAAATAAGTCTGAGAACATTTTTTTTTCAAAAGATGGATGGATCTATTCAATTAAATGGGTATTAGCTATTCAGAATGCAAGGAGAGGTTCTCAAAAGAAGAATCCAAGTAAGTTCATGGATTTCTCCATACCATTTATGGACCAATCATTCCAATATTGAATATTGAAAATATTTCAAAAATAATTGGATCTTCGAAACCGATGGGAAGGGGCGGTGCAAGATAAATCATATCGCAAATGATAAAAATCTTCAGATGTCCCAAAAATGCTATGCGGTGCTCGGAAATGGTCAACGTAGTTGAATAGGAGGATAACTATGACTATAGCTCTTGGTAAATTTACCAAAGACGACAAGGATTTATTTGATAATATGGATGACTGGTTACGTAGGGATCGTTTCATTTTTGTCGGCTGGTCCGGTCTATTGCTCTTTCCTTGTGCCTATTTCGCTATAGGCGGTTGGTTCACAGGTACAACTTTTGTAACTTCATGGTATACCCATGGATTGGCTAGTTCCTATTTGGAAGGGTGTAATTTCTTAACTGCCGCAGTTTCTACTCCTGCTAATAGTTTAGCCCATTCTTTGTTGTTACTATGGGGTCCTGAAGCGCAAGGAGATTTTACTCGTTGGTGTCAATTAGGAGGTTTGTGGACTTTTGTTGCTCTCCACGGAGCTTTCGGACTAATAGGTTTCATGTTACGCCAATTTGAGCTTGCCCGATCCGTTCAATTGCGACCTTATAACGCCATCGCATTTTCTGCTCCAATTGCTGTTTTTGTTTCTGTATTCTTGATTTATCCACTAGGTCAGTCTGGTTGGTTCTTTGCACCAAGTTTTGGTGTAGCAGCTATATTCAGATTCATCCTATTTTTTCAAGGGTTTCATAATTGGACATTGAACCCCTTTCATATGATGGGAGTTGCCGGGTGTACTGGGCGCTGCCTTGCTATGTGCTATTCATGGTGCTACCGTAGAAAATACTTTATTTGAAGACGGCGATGGCGCAAATACATTTCGTGCTTTTAACCCAACTCAATCTGAAGAAACTTATTCAATGGTTACTGCTAATAGATTTTGGTCCCAAATATTCGGGGTTGCTTTTTCAAATAAACGTTGGTTACATTTCTTTATGTTATTTGTACCCGTAACCGGTTTATGGATGAGTTCTCTGGGAGTAGTTGGCCTAGCCTTGAACCTACGTGCCTATGATTTCGTTTCTCAAGAAATTAGGGCAGCAGAAGATCCCGAATTTGAAACTTTCTACACAAAAAATATTCTATTAAATGAAGGTATTCGTGCTTGGATGGCCGCTCAAGATCAGCCTCATGAAAACCTTATATTCCCTGAGGAGGTTCTACCACGTGGAAACGCTCTTTAATCGAACTTTAGACTTTACTGGTCGGGATCAAGAAACCACAGGTTTCGCTTGGTGGGCGGGCAATGCCCGACTTATAAATTTATCCGGTAAACTACTGGGGGCCCATGTAGCCCATGCTGGATTAATAGTCTTTTGGGCCGGAGCAATGAATTTATTTGAAGTAGCTCATTTCGGACCCGAGAAGCCTATGTATGAACAAGGATTAATTTTACTTCCACACCTAGCTACTCTAGGTTGGGGGGTAGGGCCCGTTATAGACACCTTTCCTTACTTTGTTTCTGGAGTCCTTCATTTAATTTCCTCTGCCGTATTAGGTTTTGGCGGTATTTATCATGCACTTCTGGGACCTGAGACGCTTGAAGAATCTTTTCCTTTCTTTGGTTATGTATGGAAAGATCGAAATAAAAATGACCACAATTTTAGGTATTCACTTAATCTTATTAGGTATAGGTGCTTTTCTTTTAGTGTTAAAGGCGCTTTATTTTGGAGGTGTATATGATACCTGGGCCCCAGGAGGGGGAGATGTAAGAAAAATTACCAGCTTGACCCTGAGTCCAGGTCTAATATTTGGTTATTTACTCAAATCTCCTTTTGGCGGCGACGGATGGATTGTTAGTGTAGACGATTTAGAAGATATAATCGGAGGGCATGTATGGTTAGGTTCAATTTGTATATTTGGTGGAATCTGGCATATCTTAACTAAGCCCTTTGCATGGGCCCGCCGCGCACTTGTCTGGTCTGGTGAAGCTTACTTATCTTATAGTTTAGGGGCTTTATCCTTATTTGGTTTCACCGCTTGTTGTTTTGTTTGGTTCAATAATACCGCTTATCCTAGTGAGTTTTACGGACCTACTGGACCAGAAGCTTCTCAAGCTCAAGCATTTACCTTTCTAGTTAGAGACCAGCGTCTTGGAGCGAACGTGGGATCCGCTCAAGGCCCTACTGGTTTAGGTAAGTATCTAATGCGTTCTCCCACGGGAGAAGTCATTTTTGGAGGAGAAACTATGCGCTTTTGGGATTTGCGTGCTCCGTGGTTAGAGCCTCTAAGGGGACCAAACGGATTAGATTTGAGTAGGTTGAAAAAAGACATACAACCTTGGCAGGAACGACGTTCCGCCGAATATATGACTCACGCCCCTTTAGGTTCTTTAAATTCCGTGGGTGGCGTGGCTACCGAGATTAATGCAGTCAATTATGTTTCTCCTCGAAGTTGGTTAGCAACCTCACATTTTGTTCTAGGATTTTTCTTTT